TCTCTGGAATTCACTATGAGACCAGGTTGGTCTCAAATTCAGAGAGATCCACCTGGGTCTGGCTCCCAAGTGCTGGGGTTAAAGACATGTGCCACCATGCCCATCTAAAACTTATTTAATTTATTCATTCATTCATTGATTTTTGTGAGAATAGCGCATACTGTTCTAGAATTCCTTACATGATTACTTCTCATTCCCTTGTATCGACCTCCCCAGTTTTTGGATTAAAAGTGTGCAGGACCAGGTTTGGTTTAGGCAGTGCTCGAGATGGTTCCTGGGAGGAGGACATCAATCATTCTACCAACTGGATTACTGTGGTGATATTTTGTGTATCCTAATAAAATTTGTCTGAAGATAAGAGAGACAAAGGAACAAGCCACCTTTTACCTCTATGACTCCTCAGCCTGAAAAGCTTTCCTCAGCCGAAAGACTTTCTAGTTCCTGTCTCTTTACATCTTATACACCTTTCTCTGCCCACCATATCACTGTCTTTCTCAACATGTCTAGTGCTGGGATTAAAGGCATGTAAGGATTAATTATTACTTTAGACAAAAAAGGGGAAATGTGGTGATATAGTGTACCCTAATAAAATTTGCCTGAAGATCAGAGGACAGAACAAGCCACTAGATTAAACAGAGAGGCCAGGCAGTGGTGGCACACACCTTTAATCCTAGCACTAGGGAGACAGAGATCTGATCTCTGTGAGTTCAAAGACACCCTGGACTACATGAGATTGACTCAGTCTAGGATAGAAACAGAGCCAGACAGTGGTAGCACAAACCTTTAACCCCAATACTCGGGAGGCAAATGCCTTTAATTCCAGCTCCAGGGGACATACACATACACACACACACACACACACACACACACACACTCTCTCTCTCTCTCTCTCTCTCTCTCTCTCTCTCTCTCTCTCTCTCTCTCTCTCGCTGCTGTTTAACAGTCTGTGATGATATATTGCTTGTAATCTAAGAAATAAAAGCTTGCCTGAAGATCAGAGGACAGAGCTAGCCACAGTTAGCCACAGAGGTCAGGCAGTGGTAGCATACACCTTTAACTCCAGCACTTGGGATCACATATCTTAAATCCCAGCACTAGGAAGGTTGAGACAGGAAGTGATGTGGCTGGGCCCAGAAAAGAATATAAGGTGGGAGGAGACAGGAGCTCAGGTCTTTTCAGGCTCTTGCAGGCTGAGGGGTTGGTGAGGTGACTTGCTCTGCTTCTCTGATCTTTCAACTTTCACCCTGTTATCCGGCTCCAGGTTTTTATTAAGACCAATCAGGATTTGTGCAACAGCAGTCTCCTTGAGATTAAAACGTTCCATCCAGGCCAATGCAAGCTCCTTAAGCAGGGAGGTCAACAACAAAAAAATAGTTTCAAGAATTCCCTGAAACTGACCAGATTCACTGGGCTCTTCCCTGCTAAACAATAGAAGCTGAGAGTCCCTCTCAGAGAAATGAAGCTGTGGTACTCAGAAGATTTTGAGAGGAGAAAAGCAGACTTGGAGACCAGTTGTGAGACCAGCAAAGCTACCAGGAAGAGGTTTAGGCCAATAGAAGTGCCTGAAAAGAACACTCTCCACCTTGTTAAGTTGCCTTCAGGCTGTGCACCATGCTCCAGGTGCCTAGTTTTGTGAGCTGCCACCCATGCTGGGGTGGGCTTTAGTGATACAGCTGTCTCTAAGTCATTTCTGCTTCTGTAAGCAACCCCAATAAAACTCATTGGACTTTGTTGGTATCTGTACTTTGGTCTGTTGTGGGTTCCTTACCTGGGGTGAGATGAGTGTTTCATCTCATAAGGAAAAGTTTTGTCACATACCACACAGAGATTAAAAAAAACTTAAAAAATGCTGAAGCCACACTGAGCTTTCAGATGGGTTCCTCCATCTAGAAACCAGAGCGGCCAAGGTTCAGGCTCAGCTAACTCCCTCTAGCCGGTAGGTCAAGCATTTTCTGCATTTAGACATTTTGTTTGTGGTAAGTAGAGCATCTACAATAATGCCAGGGCCTCTGTTGAGTGTGAGCGCAGGTGCAAACAGGCCAGTGAGAGGTGAGTCCAGAGGACAACCTCTGGACTGTTACCTTCCTCCTTATTTTGGGTCAGAGTCTCACACAGCCTTAGCTGGCTGGCGATTACCATGTAGACCAGGCTGGCCTCAAACCCAGACATCTGCCTGCCTCTGCCTCCCAAATGCTGAGATTAAGGCGTGAACTCCCAAGAGTCTCATTCCTGCTGAGTTGTGAATTTCCGGTTAGCTAGCAGAAAAGCTTCCTGCCTCCTGTCTTGCCATTGAAGCATAGGAACTGAACTGAACGTAGGTGGTCAGGTGGCATATCAACCTGCTGAGCAATCTCAAAGTCCCAGGTAATGTTTAATAATGGTAAGATAGTCTCTTGGCTCTTGGGAGGGTGGGCAGGAGGATTGCCAAGCATTTGAGATCAGGCTGTGGTACACAGAAAAGTCCTTCTCAGAAACAACAAAAACCAAACAAACCATGAAAACAAAACCCCCAACCAACAAACAAAATAGGAAACAAAACAAAACAAAACAGCTTAAAGGGCACTTTACTGGAGCAAGTTTAAGGAACAGGCCCCCAACTTTGATTTCGGTCACGGCATTTAAATAAAGCAGTCTCTGTTCTAAGACACTGTGCCTAACAAATTCAGATTCTCAGCACTCTAAATGTTCAGTACTGAACTGCAGGGTCCAGGAACTGGCCGGAAGAGCTGTCTCACAGGAGGGTTTGGAATCACCTGCTTGGCCTGGCTGTAAAGACTGGTATAATACATCTTTATTCACTCACAATGTGGTCTCATTTTCTTGTAGCTGTTGTTTACGTCAAGGGGAACCTCAGCTCGCCTACCCACTCCACCACCCTAAAATAGTTTAGAGGCTCACTGGTGGTCAAAGAACCTTGGTTGCAGTGAGATATACTTTACTTACTGAAGAGAGGTTTATATTGAGTGGACATACGTACCACTGGACAGTTCTTAAACAATTTGCCAAATGGGAAGATACTAAATCCTTTGGGCAGCTGAAGGACTGAGCCAGGTCTCAGCTTTGGCAGGCCACTAAAAGGCAAAATCAGCTCCCTCTGAACACCCAGCTCTGTTTTGGAAACTGTTATCTAAATTCCCATCAGGTGACATTGTTTAATCTAACATTCCCCCTTTCACATGTGACTATCGCTCCAAAGACACCCAGGCTCAGGCTTTGAACTTTCTGGTAGATAGGGCATTTCCAACTCCACAGATTTTCTTTTGGTGACTCTTCCACTCTCTTCCAGTGATCTCAGTCATAACAGACTGCTGCCGGCAAGGAGGGGGCCTATAGGGGAGACACTGACCTTGACTGAAAAAAAATCTAGTCACTGATTTTATTAGGCAGGACTGAGTCTATAGCCATGAAAGTGACTTCAAACGACACTTTGAAAATTTATGCTTGAGGCACTAAACAAAGACCAGTGTATGTACACACACACACACATATATTCAAATATTTTGACAACTTGAAAGCAGAACCTTTCACCTAAGAAGGTTGAAAAATATTTTTAAAGACATAGTAGCTGCAAAGCAGAGTTTCAAGTCATATGTCAGAATTAAAAGGAAGGTTGTTTCTTACGCTCCAGGTTTCTGAGAAGCTCAGGAAGGTCAACGCAGTGTTTAAAAATGTTTTCCTTAAAAAGCAAAATACAAGCCCTCTGAACTCCCCCAATCACATTGTGACTTTATTGAGCAGCCGAACCGCTTCAGAAACCGCCTTCACGTGTCACACGCATGCAGAAAGTAGGAGATAAACTCCCGTGGATGCCACACCTCGGTGCATACTTTAGTGAACATTCATTCACTCTATGGCTTTATTTTCGCGCAATGTGAACTGATCCACCAAACCTTCCCAACAGACCCAGAAGACGACAAATCGCACATGTGGGCACACATACTTCAATTACAGCTTTGCGTTAGCACCAAACCCCTCTCGCCATGTGCGCGCCTCCCCGACACGCGGTGCTCGGATCCCATCCGGCAACTCGCTCCCTGCAGATGAAGCACCTTTCCAGGTACGCTTCCGAGCAGGAGTGTTTACACGCAACGGAGTGTGCGGCGCTTTGCACGCGATGTCCATCCCGAGCCGGCGCACCGCTCCAGCACCTGCCCGCTGCCTCCAGGGATTGGGCGGCCGCGGGACAGCCCGGCTGCGGGCTCTGGAACGAAGGCGCCGCGCGCCCAGCCCCCAGCGCCGCCAGCCAGCGAGGGAGGGAGGGTGCAGGGAGAGCAGAGCTGTGAGGAAGCGGAGAGTGGAGCCGCCAGCCAGCCGCCGCCCCCACCGCAGCGCTGCTGCCTCCGTTGGGGCCCCGCCCCTCCGGCGCGCCCCTCCCCCCGGCGCTCCTCCCCTTTCCTCCCCCTCCCCCTCCCAGGCTCAGGCTCCCTGCCCCCTCGCCTCTCCTCCAGGCTCCCTTCCCCCTCCACGTTCTCTTTCTCCACCCCTCCTCCAGGCTCCCCTCCCCCTCCCTTCCTCCTCTAAGCCTCCCTCCTCCCAGGTTCCCCTCCCCCTTCCCCCTCTCCCTCCCTTCCTCCTCCAGGCTCCCCTCCCCCTCCCTTCCTCCTCCCAGGTTCCCCTCCCCCTCCCTTTCCAGGCTCCCCTCCCCCTTCCCCCTCCCCCCTTCCTCCTCCAGGCTCCCCTCCCCCTCCCTTCCTCCTCCCAGGTTCCCCTCCCCCTCCCTTTCCAGGCTCCCCTCCCCCTTCCCCCTCCCCCCTTCCTCCTCCAGGCTCCCCTCCCCCTCCCTTCCTCCTCCAGGTTCCCCTCCCCCTTCCCCCTTCCTCCTCCAAGCTCCCTCCCCCTCCCCTCCTCCCAGCCTCCCCTCCCCCTCCGGGGGGTCCTCCTTACTTCCTCCCCTCCCCCTCCGCGGATCTTCCTCCCCTCCCCCTCCCCGTCCCCTCCCCCTTCGCTCCCTCCTCCCTCCCCGCGCGCCGGGCGCAGGCCGCTCGGGTTTGTTTTGCTGCGCGGCCGCCGCCGCCGCCGCCGCGGGCCCGGAGCTCATTTGTGCCTGGCTGGTCCCTGCGCTCCCCGGTGCCGAGCCGGAGCCGTTGGCCGCTCGCGCGCTTGGCTCTCTCCCTTAGTAACAGCTCCCCTCCTGCCTCGGTGCTGCGCCCTGCCCCCGCGCCCCTCCCCCGCCGGACCCGCCGCCCGGCTGTCAGCGCCCGCACCCCAGGGCGCCTAGGGGTGCCGACGGCGGCCAGGAGGGGAGCGCCGCGCGTCCGGGAGGGGACAGCGTCGCCAAGCAGGTGAGCGCGGGCCGGGGGCGGCGGGCGCTGCGAACTTGGCCTGGGCGCGGGGGAGGGGCGGCGGCGCTCACGTGCTGCCCCCCCTCCCGGGTCGGGGTGGCCGGGCTGCGGGAGGCGCTCGGCTCTGGCGAGCGGGCGTGGGGGCGCAGGCTGGATGCGGGGCCGCGGCCGCCCAAGGCTGGCGTAGCGGGGTAGCGGGCCGGGCTCGGGATGGACGCCGGTCCGCGCTCGGGCACGCAGGGTGCAGTCACCCGGTCGCGCTCCCCTCCGGGCCGCGCCGCGCGGAGACCCCGGGCGGCGGCTGGGACTGCGGGCGGCTGTTGGGGCGCGGGCGGGGGAGGGGCGCGGCCAGGCCTCGCTCGCTCGGGACGCGCGTGTGGGCACCTTGTGTCTGTGGCCTCTCCAGAAGGAGGCCCTGGCCACAGCCTCGGTAAAGTTGGGTCAGAAGTGTATACAGTTGGCAAACTTATTACCAGCTTCCTGGTAAGTTTCAGGGTGGCACACAAGTCATTATCTTCTGACAGTGTAGAGAGGCCAGGTTGTGAGCGTTTGCTGGGTGACTTCCTCTTTGCAACCGATGTCTTTTTTTTTTTTTTTTTGAACAGGGGCAGACTTTCATTTCAGTGTAATATTCCATTTTGAAAGGCAGCTCGAGGCGAGCCGTGCGTGTATTAGAGTGTTTGGTAATTTTGGAAGTTCTCAATTTGGATTAAATTTAGGTTGTGAAAATGGTCTGTTTCGTGTAACATTTGGGTTGGGTGATTTTAAGAAACTTTCTTTGTTGGGTTACTGAACACTGAAAATAATTTGGTGATCACACAGAAGTGTTGGAACGTAGCAAACATGACATTTCCTTAGTTTGGTGTTTCCTTAAAACCTTAGACTTCACAGGACCAGGGGGAAGGGTTTTCCTACTTATGTCATTTGCAGTTAATTAGGGAAGTTTACTGTTGGCTTTCTTGTTTCCCATATAGAAACCTTAGACTGGTCTAAACATGTTAATAAAACATGATGGGTGAAATGATGTGTTAGTTTTAGTTTGAATCTTGAGACTGAATGCTCGTCCATCAGTGTAAAGTAACGTCTTTTTCCTCCCCTTCCCAAATCACTTGGGGGTAGTACAAGGCCCTATCATACTGATTTAACTGAGCTAAAATGACTTTCAGTGAGTATTTGGATGGCCGGTTGAAGGTAGTGAGTGAGTTTTGGGATTCCCTGTGTGATTCATGTTCATTTTTGTTAAATAAGAGCCATGCTTACTGGAGTATTTCAGTAATCCTGACTTCCTGGGACTGTATGTTCTCACCACTTTAATAAGTTTATAGTCTGGGGAAGTAGGGCATCTTTGCACAAAAACATTGTGTATCAGTTGTATTGAATCGTGGGAGTCAATGGCAAGCTTCCCAAATTATCATTGAGAGTTCTAGAAACAGTTGGCATTTACCTATGGGGGAGGGGTGGTAGGATGAAAACGTGCCTGAAAGGAGTTAGGCAGGCTCTATGTGCAGTTAGAGGCTAAGTCGGGGCTTTTTTGCTGCTTTGGAATATTTCAGTCCTAGTTTTGCTGTCCTGCAAGGCATGAAGTCTAATCACAAACATTAAACTCTCAAATCACTTTCCCTTTTTCCTGTAGTTTGAATACAGTCAGATCTCTAGGATTGAGGACAAACATTAACCCGTGGGGGAAGGAAACAGTTTCTGTAAAAAGTTAAGCCACTCATCCTTGCACCTGAACCCACCGTTTGAAGCACACTTCTAACCTGTACATGTTGTTAGCATAAGAGACATTGGTGGTTAATGGAGTTTCTTAATTTGGATGTGTTTTTTTGGCATTATTGGAAAGTGCTCTGCCTCTGAGCTACAGCCCAGCCTTGAGATTATATTTTGTGTTGACTTTTGTTGAACTGTTAAACACTTTAACTTTTTTTTATGTATGCCAAAGAACTCCTTTTGATATTTGGAGTCTATCTTATTAAGGTTTTTGCAGGATTGATTATCATAATACCTGTCTGCCAAGAAAATAAGAAATAAATGCTTCCTGTGAACTGGGAAACTTTCCAGCCAGTGAGCAGAAAGGGTAGCTACTGCTTTATAAACATGGGGTTTCTGATAAAAAGGGGTGTGCCAGATGGACCTTTGGAGCTTCAGCCTGTTGAGTAAATGTGCTGGTTCACTTGTGGTCAGAGGCTGTGTACAAATTGAGTCCCTCACACAGTTTCTCCTAGGATGGAACATTACTGTGGAGATTCACTAAGTTCATTTAGATGGAGTTAGTTGAAGTAATTTGTTACTTATATAAAAAACGAACAGAGAGAAATGCATTGGAATTCAGGGGAGAGATGGCAGAATCCTTGGCGTTGGTGAGGACTGTGTTGTTCTGGTACATGTAAACTGGACTCATTTTCAGAAATACCGTTTACAGTGCACAGCCCTGAAAGTGGTAAGAGGAAGGCCAGGAGCAGCAGACCTTCCTTTCCCTGTGGCTGTGTAGCTGTGAACGGTTCACTTTCCCCGCCAGACTGCCACCAACAGGAACTGTAGAGAGCTGATGCTCAGGAGGTTTCACTGCTTACTGCCTTTGGCATCCTAAGAGTACAATTGATTGCCCTTTTACCAGAGAGCTAGGGGACAAGGACTCTGAGCCACCTCCAGGAGGTGTGAAGTGCAGCTGTCGTTTAGACTAATCCCTTGTGGTGAGTGTTGTATTGGCTTTCTCTGTGGGTGATGAGGTGGAGAAGTGCTCAGAAGGTAATTCTGATTAGTCCTTGACAAGGGACTCCACCCTGGTCTTTCTGACCCCTTTTCCATGCGCTTTCTAGATGACCATTTAGGACACATTTCCCTGATGCTTTGCCAGGCTTGGATTTCCGATTTCCTGACAGACCTTGTAATTGGGACTGTAGCTCTGCGATACCTCTGTCAGGGGATGCCATGGTGGATGGCTAGTCCAGGAGTTCTGCCACCGTGCTTGAGTCCTGCAGCTTCTGTTGAATATTAATGGTAGCCTCTCCAAATACTGGTGGCAGAAAGAAAGTTAAGAATGGAGAGCAAAGAAGAGTGTGGCCAACTGTCTTCAGAAGTGTGTGCTTCTGAAAACTTGTGAAAGAAAGGCCTTACCGTGTTGTGTTGTAGTGCAGTGGTTTGAGCAAAGATCCTCTTGGTTCTCTGTCCCTTAAAGGTCATGACCTTGAGGGTAGACTAGAGCTGCCACTTAAGTCTCCTCTCTTGTGTCACAGTTGAGACAATGGAGTTGGTGTATGTGTAGTGTTTAGAACAGTGTTTGTTTGACTTGCCAAGCATTGCCTGAACGTCCTGCCGTGCCTTTGGTTTCGTGAGGTGGTTTCTTTGTGTTATGTTTTCCTTTTGTTGCTGCTGTGGGGGCATAAATATCACATGAAGCTCTCAGTAGGTCAGTTTCCTGCGTTTGTGGGCAACATTCTTGAAATAAACATAGCATAATTTATTTTTTCTCAAAGTTGTGATTGAGGCTTGCTCATGAAGAATTAGACTGCGTTGTCAACGCTTCCTTGATTGGTGTGGTTATAGGGGGGTGGGTTTTCCCATACCTCGGGTGCTGTTTCTTCTGACACTTGGTCTTAGGCTTCAAGTCTGTGTTCCACTGGAAACATTTTCAAGTGTTTAAATAAAAAGGAATTGTTGAAGCCAAGTCTGGCAGAACTTGTGGTCTGTCTTAGAGGTGGCTGTATTGGGTCTGCACTCCCTGTTTTCGGCTGTCAGGACAGCTTTCCTTAGGAACCTTGCGCAGGTCTCAGTCCCATAATTTTTTTTTTCCATTTTACCACTCTCAGCAGCACTAGTGCTGTGTGTCACGTGTCTGTCTGTCAGGACTAGACTGGTGCTTTGACAAGTCCTTGTGACAATTTGAGCAGCTGGTACCCTAAATTTAACTGAGGAACAGAGGCTCAGGTAGTGAGGGGCAGGAGCAGTGGCTTGGGCACAGTGTGTGTGGCTCTGATTGTCTTCTGGCAGCGAGTCCACAGGAAGTCCATGAATGTGGTGGGAGTTTTAGGTTTGATCTTTGCATTAATATTCCTGTTTTTTTCTGAACAGGTTTCTTCTCATCTAATGTAACTATTGACAGTGTCATTTCTACTGGTTTTAATCACTTAGGTCCCCCCTGGAAAACCCCAAATAGTTGCCTCTTGCCAACTGGACTGAGTTCATGGCCTTCAGCCTGGCTTTTAGGGCTCTTTTCTACCTATTCCAGTTTCCATGCCCTCTTCCAGGTGGACCCTTGCCGGCCTCTCAGATCCTGTAGCTGCCATGTCTATTACTGCCTGGGTTTTACTCTGCCTTCCTTCCCTTGGTTGTTTTTTTTGTCTAGTTTCAGCCCCACACTTTGAGAAGCCTCTTTTACAGTTCTGACATGTTCTTCTCTGATTCCCTCTCACTTTGCTTGTGGGGGTAGGCCCTGTTGTGCCATTGTGAGGGGTTCCTCCTCCTGCCCCGGGTTGTTTGTTAAGTCCTCTATTAAAGGGAACAGTGCGTCCTCCCTGTTGCATTGATGGGCTAGAGTCGTCTTTCTGACTTTAATGCTGGAGTGGACAAGGGAGAAAACTTGGTGAAAATGTTTGTCCTTTTCGCTGGGATACTAGCTGCAGCATTAAGGGAGAATGTGACTTTATTTATCAAACGTTAGGAGTTGTGTTACCCTCTCCTTTTCATCCAGTTGTACACAGTGACTGTTTCTTACCTGAAATGCCTGGGACCCAGAGGTGTTTTGAGTTTTTTCCTTCAGATTTTAGCATGTAAGCAAGGGATCTTGGGGATGGGATCCAAGTATGAATGTGACGGTCATTTTGTTTCATGTGCACCTTGTGCCATAGCCTAAAGTGGTTTCATATTTAGTGTTGTCTGCTTTTTCTGGTGTCTTGTTACCTGATGTCTGGGTGGAGTTTTGTGTTTGGTGCTTAAGAATTTTTGGATTTTTGGAGCATTTTGGACTTTTGGTTTTCTAATTAGGGATGTTCAACCTGTGT